GTACGTTGCCTCTATGACCGACACTTGGCATCCGAAACCCAGGGCTTTTCGAGCATGGTTAAAAACACGGATGTTAGCACGATTTCATAGTATAAACTTTTGACAACTCTCTAGATCACCCAGGTACCCAGGTATTTTCTATATATGAGAAGATTCGGAAGGATCTATCTTTTCTCAGAGATCGACCGATCGACAGTCCTGGGTACCTGGGCGACGCGGTTGTGAGCGCCTCGGACGTTGCCTCTTCGAAAGACACGTGGCAGATACCAAACCTTTTTGAGCGATGATGTGAATGAATGCTACGCACGCAAGACTCGTGGCAGCCGAGATGGCAGGCTTTTCAAGTTTTCAAGGTTGAAAGTAGCTCGCACCTCTGACGATGAAACGTTTCGCCAATTGCATAATTGGAGAACTTATCGAGCCAACAATTCGTTACATTTGCTCACTAAGTCTTTGACTTAATCACAAAGTCTTTGTTCAGCCCTCAAATTTGCAGCCACTGTCAGTTATCAGATGCTCTAAGGCCTTAACAAATCTAATACCGTGCTCTTTCTCCACGTTGTGTGCTAGCTCGTGGGCCACTATCACAAACCACTTCCAGCTGGAGAATGAGTAGGCCATGTTGAAGTAGAGATTTCCAGCCTGATTGAAAGCTGTCACTTCTCCAGCCACCGACCAGAAGATGTTGACCTTTGCCGTCGGCACGCCAAACAGCCCCGTCAGCTGGATGATGACGTCCGCGAACTCCTCCAGCCCGAGGCTGCGCAGGTCGGCGAGGGACTCGTGGGCCTGGGTGTCGGAATAAACCCCGACACCTCCGTGGAGCTCACCGATGCGAGTCAGTGCGGGAATTTCGCAGCAGAACGTGCCGTCGAAGTTTGGCTCGGTGTGAATCCCTCCGGTGCAAGGCTCGCGTTGCAGCCACTTCGAAGGGTCCAAACACTGGCTCACTATTCTCTGCTGTGCACGTGCTTCTTCAGCACTAAGCCTCGCCCTCTTCTCCGCTGCACCCAGTTGCTCGCCCCCCCGCGACTTCCTCTTCTGACCTACCACCTCGTGTGGATCGCCCTCCTCCTGCGGTGCCCCCGCAGACTCTGAGTCTACCTCCCCCAATTTCCATTCTGCCTCGTCCTGCAGCCAGTCTGGTTCCTTCTCTGTATCCGGCTCCGGTAGCTTCTCCCCCTCCTTCTCCGTCTCTGCGTCGGGCTCCAGCTCCTCCGAAGCCTTCCCAACGGGGGTCTCTATGTTGCGGGTAAGGCTCATGATGAGATTGTCCACGTTCGCGTTCATCTTCTTCATCACTTCTTTGATGAAGGCAGCGGGGCCGCAGCCTTTCTCGCAGGTGCCGTCTGCATCCACTGGGGAACCATCCCGATGCACACCAGCCGCATGCTGGGATGTCCATAGGAAGACTCCCATGTCCACGACGTAAAGTGGATCTCCCTCGCCTTTCTCGATCCGCTCCACCCCGCTTCCGATATTCCGCGGGTAGGCCTTGAAGAGGACGCGATCCGGCTCAATCGCCAGAGCTTGCTGAGCGACCCGTCGCAGTGCTTCCGCATACTCCCCCCCAGCCTCGGGGTGGTCGGGAAACCCCAACAAGAGCTTTTCGAACACCGACCTATGGTCTTCGACACTTGGACGCTCCCCCTTCTCGAAGAAGTCGTACAGGTCCCCGACAGCCACCAGATGCTTCCCCGCCACTGCTGCTTGCTCCGCTTGCAGCCCGCTATCCTGAGACGTCCGCTTTCGTGGACCTGATCGAAGACCGGATGGCTCATGCCTTCGACCCAAAGCGTGGCACCATGGAAAGCCTCATCCTAGCCGGAGCCGATGATCTCCTAGTAGACGCCCTATATGAGACAGCTCGCCTCATGTTCGACGACTCTTTCGATGTCGTGATAGCGAGGGATACGTCGGAAGAGTTGAGGAGGGTAGTACTGATCCCTAAACTGGCCATCAAGTTCGATCTCTACGGCTTTTATTTTCACAGGGAAGGTGGCTGCTCGCATGTACGGGATTACTGGGCGCCAAACAAGTACAGAACCTTCGAAGAAGAACATCTCGTCTTCACAGACTCTGACATGAATGACATCACCACGGACGATGAAGAGTCCGACGAGGACGATGAACTCTACGAGGGTCAATCCGAACTATGGTCTAGCCCTGTAGCAGCGGCCCCTCTCGATCTCGACTATTGAGGGCAGCGAGGCTGATAAAAACAGCGATGTAAGAGTCAGCATTGTAAAGCCACGGTGTGCACGAAACATTAGTGTGGTGTTTGCGACTGTGCTTCAAGTCGAAAACGTTCATTTGTCGATTCATTTTTCGCATTTGGATACATGAGGAAATGCATTTCATCACGTTCGGTACTCAAGGAACTTATAATCAATATGCCTACCAATTAGCCCGAAGTGCACTCAAAGCTGGCTTCGACACGGCGATCGTCTATGACGAGTCGAATTTCGACGCGGCATTCAAGGCCTCCCATCATGAAGTACTGTCGCTGTCCCGTGGCTTCGGGGCATGGTGCTGGAAGAGCTATTGCATACTCAAGCGGCTAGAGGAATTAGCTGATGGAGAAATCCTGACATATTGCGATTCGCTTTACATTTTCAAGCGGGACATCAGGCCGACCGCACGAGATTGGTTGAAGGACCGGGACCTAGTCTTGTTCGAAAACAAACCATCCGAGCCGAGCTTCTTGGAAAAGAATTGGGCTAAATATGATGCATTCCATATCCTGGGTGCGGATCCCACGGTGCATGGGGGAACATCACAGTGCTGGGCGGGTTTTTTGATGGTGCGTAAGACCGCCGAGACGGTACGCTTCGTAAGAGAGTGGTACAATAGATGTGCTGACGTAAGACTGATGAATGACGAACCGAGCATCTTCGGGAAAGAGTTGCCTGGATTTGTCGAAGGGCGTGAAGATCAGGCTTGCGTAAGCATTTTGAGCAAAGTCATGAAAATCGGGTATCCTTTCTTAAGATTACCCGCGGATCTGCTCTACAACATCAGGATAGGCAGGTGAAGGCCCCGTCGCAAATGCCCACTTATAGCCAGCTGCCCGTATGCTCGTGTCACGTAACGCTTTGCGTAAACTACTCCCAGTTTTCAGGCCGTTGTTGCGTGCAGCTTCTTCCACGGATGTATATGTACCACTTATTTGACCCGTTTCGGCGTCTATCCTGTGTACCCGTCGCGTCCTGTCTTTATTCTGAGCCTGTTCAGCTGTCGTCGCGAATCGCAAGTTCTCTACGCGGTTGTCCGCCGGCTGCCTATTGATGTGATCGACACTCGTGTGCTGGTCACTCGGAGGACATCCGAGGAATGTGTACGCCACCAGCCCGTGCACCGGTACATTTTTACTACTTGCGAATACATTCATGTAGGAATTGTTACGCACTCCATACGAGCGCCTGCCAGTCGCACTCTGCACGCGGCCCAACGTACTGACAAAAATGCTCCTAAAAGTAGTCCCCTTGTATACGGCTGGCTTCCAGATCTCTCCGTCCAAGGTAGCCTGTTCTCTGAGGTAGTTTGGATCTATCTGAAAGTGAAAGCCACTCTGCACCCCTCCACCGCTTTTCATGAATCTCCGAAGTTTGCTCACCCCCAATTTAGTGGCGCTGGCAGCTTCCACAATGCTCGGGTAGACTGAAGTGTACCCCGTGGAGACGGTTTCTATCATCACGGGGATAGACGTGTGTGTCGTCCAACCTTTTATAGCATCCGGGTTGTCTGTTGCTGTCTTTGCCACGTGGTCAGTCATGCTTAGCTCTTGGAGGTTTTGCCAAGAATCGTCCGGTTCGGTGCCTTCGGGGTGCGGTACGATGTGGTCGCATACCATACCAGCCCCTATCGGACGTCCCAGCTTGACTTCCAAGTTGAACCTATGCCGTTGATAATAGTGTGTATGACCCACTCCAACCACCCAATACCGATTGTGACGACAGCCTTTGAGGACCTGTCCTGTCACGGCCGAGAAGACTTGCCCATCGGGTCGGCCGTAAAAATTCGTCATCGTTGGATGCGGCTTCCAGCCTTCAGACAAATCGGGATGAAAGCGTGCCTGTCTCGGGGGACGTTTTAGAAGCCTTTTTACACGTCTCTCTTCTTTTGAAAGCTCACGTAAATTAGCCCAAGAATCATCAGGCTCCTCGTCACGAGCATCTCTATTTTCAACGATCCTGTCGCAGACCATCCCAGGTGCCAGCAGTCGCTCGAGCTTGCATTCTAGCACGAATACCTGCCTCTGGTAAGGAATTCGTTTCTCCCCATCCTGGATCATCAGTAGCCAGTCAATTGTTTGTTGAGGGGTACCTTTCACAATTGCCCCGAAATCGCCGAATAGATCTTTCCATCCTCGCGCGAATAGATCTGTTTGAATCTGGGATGAGGCTTCCACCCCTCTGCCTCTGGGGGTGCCTTCCATTCCCTTACTTCGAACTTGCGCTTACCCAGCATGATGTACAGACTCGTAAGATGCTTATTCTGAAAAACACGCGTGCCCTATATGGCGATAGGAACTGCTCAGCATTTTGAGCAAGGTTGAGAACGTTGGGCAACCATTTCTGAGATTCCCTGCGGATCTGCTCTACAACATCAGGATAGGCAGATGACTCCATGGCGTGGACACTTGTGAAATTACCCCTCATGATCCCAACACATCCTCGAACACTTCATAGTTTCTCGTATCTTGAGATCCATATGAATGGTACCGCGTGACCAAATCGGGCGCCTTCATGACTGCAAAGACGATCTCCTTAAAAGCACCTGGGTTGTCTGCGATGACCCTCTTGAATGCTTGCGCGACGTCCCTGGCAGGATTGCGCCACGCTCCGCAACCCAGCGCTCCGAGTACTAAACTGTCGTGGTCTTCAGAAATACCGACCTGGACAATCAGCCGGAGATCATCACACGACATTACCTGCTGCCTGTTGTCGTACATGGTCAGTTTCA